GATACTAGCTCGTGGAACCATTTTGTCAATACCGGTGAGAAGGGGCCGCTCAGCCAAATCCAGGATCTGCTTCTTCGTCAAGAGACTAGCGAAAACGATGTTTCGGCTATTTTCCAGTACATTAGTCACTGATACACTTATTTGGCATACTTGAGCTGGTTCGGAGTTTACTACAGTATTGGGGTGGATTGTATCTTTGCGAGCGTGTTCATTCAAGAAGCGAATACTTATGACCATAGAATGCGAATGTTTTTTTTTGTATCACGAAGAGCTACATCTGACCGAAAAATGAAAAATGAGAACACTATACTCAAAGATAACGTATACCAATGCATCAAGTCAATAGACATATTTGGGAGTAGGTTAAGAAATATGATGTTATTCACAGACGAAGGATCCAGTATATGATCACCACGAAACAATCCAGCTAAGTACAAGACACAAAAAGAAAGGTCTATGCAGGAGATGAGGTCCAGCTCTAGCTACCTATGCAACTATTTCTTGGACTTCCGTCCTCCAATACCCAGCCGCCCCAGATTGGGAAGACTCGACTTGTGTTTATGAGATGGCACACCCTTCGCCGCGCTATTATCCAACGCACGCCCAGCAGCGGTGCCACTGGCACCAGGACCAGGGCCTCCTAGCCCAGTATTTCCAGCAGCGACGTTACTAGGGCCCGGAGCACCGCGCGGAGCATCAGGGAGGTTAGATCGGTCCTTGGGGCGGTCTGCAGCAGCGACGGAGAGAGCAGCTGTAAGAGAGGGATTGATCAGGGGACCAGACTGGTCGAAGGAGAAGCGGGTAGAGCCCTGGGATCGACGGGCTCGTTCCTGGACGGCCTTGAATTTGTCGAGGAGTTCAACCCAGCGGATGGAGTTCTCGTCGCGGGTTTTCAGGCGGGTGCCTGTGGAACGGTCGAAAGATGGGGCCGTTTGAGTAGTACTAGGGAAATTCGTCTCAGTAAACCTTGGGGTGGAATGCGGGGGGCAGGGGCCATACCTGCGGGGTCCGCCGTGGAGGAAACCAATGTTGTTGACACTGTTCAGACGGTTCTTGAGGGCGGCGAAGGCAGAGCTCTGAGGGAGGAGCATGAGGACGCCGTAGAGACATTTGTAGAGGAAGGGGTATTTTTCGGGTTCAAGGAGTTGGAGGCGGAGATCTGTTAGGATTAGCCTCTGAGATTGGGGTCATATTGTTGGAAAGAAACGGACATGTGAATACTGGTGACTCCAGTAGTTGCACCAGTTTGTCGATTTGGATTAGCATGTTAACTGTCATTTCCAATTCGGCACTGTGGAGGGTCTTGTCAGAAAACTATCCTGGGGGATGGAGCTGGTATACTGACAAGATCTGGAGGAGATTGTATGCCTGCTCATAGGCCTGGGCAAGAAGACAGAGAGAAAACGTGGAGACAGCGTTGTGGCACCATGATCTGAAAAGCCCGACAAAGAACATTTGACCATCCTAGAAGATCCATTAGCCTCAAAAATGCAAGACAAGGTGTCCGGGGATATTACTTTTGAGTCAAGATTTCTCAAGCGCTTTCTCAATTCCGACAGTTCGGGCGCAGTGATGAGGTTGTTGTTCAAGTTCTGGACCATGATACTGGCAAACTCAAGATCCTGTGACATGTTAGCATATAATACGCCCAAACTGTGCAATAAAACTCACCTCTTCCTTCTCAAGGCAATCTGCCAAAGTCCAGTAGATACGCTCCGGGCTCAGGTTTAGAGAAAGCTGCCTGATGATCAGATTCCCGCGCACTTCGAGTAAATGCCTGTCTGTAGAGTAGAGTTGCAACAAGGCGACCATGAAAGATTTAAAATAGCTATCCTCGCTGTTTCTTGAGATCTGTGAAAGAAGCTGCAGGTCTTTGGTTACAACCGCTTCTGAAGGGTCGGATAACGTTTTTAGCAAAGCCGGGAAGGTACCGTCGTTGAAAGCGATGACTTTCCGTGGGGCTTTACGGTGGAGCATGATGAGCCATGCAAGGGCCGCAACTCTAGTGGCTTCATTTTCATTGAGGAATTGTAGAGTGAGAGAGTTGACAGCAGCAGCATAATCAAGGTCGCCAGGAGGCAGCGGCGTGGAAACAATGCTACTACGTGGTGTAGCCGCAATAGAATTATCTTGTGTTGTATGTTTCTTTGTGTCAATGCTCGCTGTCTCTGAAGGTCTGACTCCAGGAGTCGATGAACGTCGCTCTATGGTTTCTTTGCTGGCCGTAGTGGAAGGGATCTTTGACGGTGGCACCTGGGCTTCCTCGGTCGTATCATCCGACAAAGAGTAGATGTATTGGACCAGGGAGGTGTTGACTTGGTTTGCTGCTTTTCGTACTTGATCCGAGCCACTAGACATGGCTGGGAGTACCTGAGTCAACAGCCGCGGAACGAAAGGAAGAATATCTTCAGGACTGATCTCGAAAAAGGAATCGATCCAACGAAGGGCCGTTAATTGCATTTCTTCCTCTAATAAAAAGGATAAGCATGTGAAAACCAAAAAGAAAATGCATTTGCTCTTACCATATGAGGTGTCGACAAAGCTGACAAGAATACCAAGAATCCTGGGATGATCGATTTGTACATCTTGTCCCGGGATCCAGTCTCCATCGGCCTGGGCGATTTCATCGTCGAGAGTTGTATCTGAGGCCGAATCTGCGACGGCAATGTCATACTCATTGGCACCATCAGCCTGGGCATTTTGCTCCGTCACGCTGCTCATCGCGTCACTGTTCACCGAGTGTCTGTTGCTCTTCTGACCCTTCCGGCTTTCTTCAATCCCCTTTTTAAGTCGGGTGATCCTCTTGATCTCCGACAAGAACCGATCAAGTAAACCCTGGGTTGCAATATTCACGTCTTTGTTGGGCCCGCCAAGGAACTTGATCAACCCCTCCAGGAACTCCGGCAAATAGCTCACGAGCTCCAGGTCAGGGATTGTATCTAGAAGGGTAAGCCATGAGACTAGAAAGTTGCGAGTGAATGGTTGGATCACATGAATCCGATCTTTAAGCAAAGGAATGAATCGTGCAAGAGAGAAGGCCATGGGAAGGTCCTGGTCTTCCTGATTCTCCAATTCTGGAGTTCCCTTCTCGGAGAGTTGTAAGATCGACACATACGAGGCCGCCGATTCAGCCACAATATCTTTCACCAGGCGATCTAGAAGCTCCGCGCCGTTCTTGACTGATAGCTCCGAATCGGACGCCAGCTATATTGCATGTCAGCGAATGCGTTACCCCACTTAAACTTATCATCACCCCTCACCTTAGCCAGCGCGTCGAAAACCTCATTGAAAAACAACAATATCTCTCCCTTAGCCACTTTGGCTATGTTGTACATGCTCTCGCATGCGTAGTACCGCACTCGCGCATCTTGGTCGGAGAAACATGCGAGCACAGGCGGGACAATCTCACCCAAATACGGCGCAACTCCTTCCTATATCCCAGGTATTAGCTAAGGGGTCATCCAAGTCCTTGGTTATGACCACTACTCACCGACCCCAGTGCGATAGAGGCAGCGGCCAATCCGATCAGGCCTCCATTCCGGGCGTGGGGTTGGTGCACGGCATATGCATAGTCGTGGCAGAGCTGTTCAACGATCTTTTGTATTTTCTCATGTTCTCCATGGCCAACGGCGTCACGGACAATTTTCTCGAGCCTGGTGTAAATAAACAGTGGTCAGTATGAGTTCTTTCAAGTGCGGAGTGATGAGCCCGAGATGACATACTCCAAAGCTCCCTGCTTTCTCCTGTCGTAGAGCTTGTCATTCAGTAACCGCTGGATTACTTGATCCATCGCTCAAAGCAGCCTATGCTGCAATCTTTCCCCAGCTATGGTCGGCTAAGCACTGCTCATGGTGGACAGAAGGTATCTCAGCGCGTTGGGGTGTCGCGAGACGGTCAGGAGCTTGAAAGTCGAGTGTGAGTCGTGGGTCTGACGGTAAGTCGTGCAGATAAGAAAGCTCAGATCGTCCGGGAGCTATTCGATCACAGTCAGAAGTAAAAATGCAATCACAGGATGAGGGAGATGCGTTGGCAGTGTGGAGATGGAGAGACCAGAGCGGTGGTGTGACGTAAGTCTGCGGACTCGGACCTTACCGCCTTTGGCCTCCAGCTGTAATTCTGAAGATAAGTAGTTCAGCACACCTGCAGGTTCTCTATTCCGTAATCCTTTTGTAGACTTGATGCTTTTGAATGCGTATGGCTATCTTTAGCAGTAAAGGTGGTCATCCTTGAGCAAGATGAAAGAAACCCAAAAAGAACAAAGAACCGAAACCAACGACACAAAGCCAGCCTTGACTACTTGGAGCACCCGCTTTTTAATCTCGAGTAAAACATGCAATCCCCGGTTACATGTGGTACATATAAAGGTACTTTGTACACGCCGTTGTATACATCTAAAAAGACATCCAAAAGGAATCTAGAAACACATCGGAGTGTTCTTACATATAACATCCCTAACATCATGGGCCAAACATCGGATTACCAAGCTACTACAGAGGCCATATAAGCCGACTATTATTGTACTAAGTACTTGAATAAGAAAAATCTCAGAGATAAATAATTTCAATCACGGATGTGAGTATGAGCATCAAAGTCCACATAGATGAAACTATGGAACAAGAAGATGAGGAGCAGTAAAAGAACAAGCAGACATATCGCAGGAGATATCGAAATCCGTAAGAAGAAAGCAGAAAGCAGATCTCAACTTTTCGAATATGGCTTCCCGCTGACACATAGAAATCATAAAACCGATACGCCACCTGGGCAACGGAAGTAAACAATCCCAGAAAAGAAAAAAAAGAAAAACAAAACAGACGTGGCGTGTGACTGTACAAGGATTCGTCGAGACTCCGCGGAAGCATCACGCAAAGGTATAAAACAAACAGAAGAAAAGGTCTTCAGAAAAGAGTGAAAAAGGGTGAAAAAGCTAAAGACAAGTAGAAGAAGAATGGCGCCAATAACACAAGGAATCGCTCAGGCATGTCGACTTGAAATGTCCATCACTATCGCGATGACTGGCTGCCCCATCCTGATGGGCGCCAGCTACCGGTGGAGTGCTTAGAGACGGTGCTGGTCGGCGAGGTTGCGCCATTCGAGTAGACATATTCGCCGTCGACGTATTGGGCACCGGCGGAGAAGGTGCTGCGGTGCTTGCGGCGTGCGTAGCGCTGTTCGAGACGGTAGATCTCAAGTTCTGCTTCGATATTAGTGATCTTTCCAAACAATCCAATATCGCATTGCTCTTCTGCGGTGAGGTAGCATTTTGCTGGGTGGGTTTCGGGAGTCGCGGAACGTACTGGCTTGTAGCTTATCGATGAGACCCATTGTGACGAAATGCAGAGATGGATATGCTCAGGATTCTGAAATTTGGAATGCTACCTAGGTAGATGCTATATGCAAGATATCGAAGGCGACGATCACCGGTGAAAAGTGGAACGTAATGTGAGCGGAGCTGCGGAGGGAAAATTGACGTTTCTGTGCAGAACCATGGGTCAGTCCCTGATGATCACGATTGACGACGTTCCTGGGCCTGGGTATAAATAAGAGAGGTTGGGCTTACTCGATAATGGTTTCAGTAAGCGCTGGTCTAAAAGCTCAGACTTGAGATATGCAGCGGGGAGTTGCAGGTACTGGAATGTATCGGACTAGAGGATAAAAGAGCGTAGAGAGATTTAAATCAATTGAATGAGAGTGAAGATACAATTCCCTACTAAATGAGTGTAGAGAAGAAGAGAAGTCATGCAGAAAAGAAAAGGGGGGTGTGGGGAGATTTCGACTAAATTAGCGCGATTCAATATCCGGAGAGGCTAGACAATGCGTATGTGTTTCATCTATACATCTTACTCTATTCCTTTATCTTTACATCTTTATACGTCTTTATACCTGGTATAGTGCAGAGTAGATAGAATTGAATGATACACTACATGCTCTGTACATATCCCATTCCAAATACTCCGTGGAATGTTCTTTTTATAGACACCACGCGGCAACGTTCTGTTCGCACAGACCCTCGATATTAATCACTCTATATTCCAACGCTAGGTTACATTTGACAAGGAGTGTGGATGGCGTTTGTTATCTTATATTGTTACATTGGGGTCTAATCTCTATATTGTACGGTATATTGTACGGTATATTGTACGGGGGACTCCGTACAATATACAATTTCAAGGTCTGTACCCATAGGCACAATTTTAACCCTATTTGGAAACTAGTGATTTTACTATTGGATTCATATTATTCCAGAATGTCTTCTCGAGATTCAGAATTCCTTGGCGCCAAGACACGAATTTCCTAATTTACATCTTTCGACGCCGTGAATTTGAAGGCAAACATTTTCCAATCCAAGTTCGTTTGCCCGGGTTTCAATCCCCATTCACGTTGGAAGGATGCATATAATATACTACTCCATAGTCTTCGTACAGCTTGTTTGCGGAACTTTGCATAGTGGATTCCGTTTGACGAGGTGATCTCGCCGTCCCTGATCTCTTCGGTGGACCTCGTCACGTGGGTTGTGTTTGTGTGCTTGTGGGGGGATAGTTGAGAGTAAATTAGGAGACTTTGCAATCTGACCGATATCACTGCCTTGCTCAATCAAATGCTGACAGTAACTTGACCTCGATATTTACCAGCCGGCTGATGCTGTGCGACTTCCCGAGCTTCCTTCACATTTCGAGGGCCACGGCCTAGCTACTAGCTAGATACTATTCTATTACGACACCGAGTAGCGGATAAGAACGCCGTATATGATTCAACCAAGCCAGCACGAATGTATCCATTGACATGTCATCACGCCCCGCACTATGCTTGATTGGGTTGAGCGCTTCGCCATTCTAGCTGTGAGGCTATGCCCCGCATACGACCACATTGAATTCTGCACAAAACAGTATCTGTACGGCCAAAATTGAAGCTCTAACTATCAAGATCCAAAAGAAAAGACCAGACGAGAGAGTATGGCTGAGGTAGTGGGGCTCCTCGTCAGTATTGGTAACCTTGTCGAGATTGCGGGACAAATCACCAAACTCAGCTACAGCTACGTATCAGACATCAAGTCTGCCCCCAAAACACAAAAGCTGTATCTCCAAGAGGTGTCAGCGCTCACAGATGTCCTTTTTCGGGTAGAAAAGGCCATCCGAGAGGCAGAAACCACCGGTTTAAAACTGCCCTCGTTACCATCTTCGCTCAATGATGAAGCCCTTCAAGAGTGTCGTCGCCAATTGTCGGTCCTTCATCTCGATCTCGACAAGCGACTGCGCCGCCTCTTATGGCCATTTCAGGAAAATGAGGTCAAAAAATACATTGATCTTTTGCATCGCTACAAAACTCTCTTTGTTGATTTTCTTTCAATAAATATGATGTTCGAAGACCTATCTCCTCTCCGAGGCCATCAGAGAGTAAGCTAATTTGCAGCAGGTCCGTTGCCAGTGCTACCTACAAAAAGATTACAGCGATCGACCAAGGTAGTGTCTTCTGAACGGCATGGATCCTCGCGATAGCTCTAATCCGACCTTTAGAGCAAATCCGGCAGTATCTCTACTCGCTTTTCCCGGCGTCTGATAACCTTTTGCGCACCAGACCAGATGCTTGTCCTGGAACTGGCAAATGGTTTTCGAACTCACAAGATGTGGAGAGCTGGCGTATTGGAACCCCATCGCTGCTCTGGTGCTACGGAGCCCGTATGAAGCAACCCTTTCGAATATCATCTGCAACGTGTCAAAAGCTTGCTAACCACTAATAGCTGGGGTCGGTAAAACGCTACTTTCGTACGTACTGCTAGAAACTCGGTCATGGCTCGGCAATTTCTAACACAGCTAGATCAATCACGATTGGCCACCTATGGGATGCGAGATTAGAGACTACAAGTTCCGTGGTATATATATTCTGTCAGTTCTCATCTCGGGAGCAACAAACCCTGACAGCAATTTTGCAATGCATGATCCGACAAGTAATCGAGCAAGCAGATGCAAAGGTGCTTGTCACAATGAAACATCTCTTCGCGGATCCTATGAAGCAGCGTGAACCTGCAGGACTCGCTGAAGCATTCGCAGCGGCATGTGAGCTGAAGTCGACCTATCTTCTAGTTGACGGCCCAGATGAGGTGACCGGAGCAGATGGATTGCTCCCTTATCTGTCTTCCTTTGTCGAAAATGGGTGCAAGGTCATGGTCACGAGCCGAGATATTAGCCATATTAGGAAGGCCATGGATTCAGCAACCAAGATGGAGATATGTTCACGATCTGAAGATTTGGAGATATATATCGACTCCCGCTTTCAAAAAAACGAACTTCCCCGAGGGGCACAAAAGTTGATCGGAAAGATCACCGAAAAGTCGGGAAATATGTACGAACTACCACTAGTAAATGAGTACATCGCTGACAGATACTAGGTTTCTACATACCAAGCTTATTCTGGATGAGCTCTTGGATCTTACCACTGTTCGCCATATGCAAAAGGCTCTCGAAAAACAGTCGACGGGGCTGAATCAAGTGTATCAATCAACATTAGAGCGAATCGACATGCAGCCAAGGGCAAGGAGGGAACTTGCTCGGCGATTTATCGGATGGGTTGTCTTTGCGAAGAGACGCCTGAAAATCGATGAAGTAATTCATGCCTTCGCCGTCGAAGAAGATGAGGATTATATTGAAGAAGATAACTTCGTCAACCCTGACCTTCTTCTTCGATCGTGTGTTGGTCTGGTGGTGCTACACGACGACATGACTGTTGCAATGGTCCATGCGACTGCTTACGAATTTTTCGCGTCTACAGTGTTATTACCGCATGACATGGAGGCCGACATCACAGAGACATGTCTACGGTACATGTGTCTCAGTCCGTTCAAGGAAGGGCCATGCACAAGTCGCGTGGAGATGTCTCGCCGCTTCCATGAAATGCTGTTTCTAGACTATGCCTCACGAAACTGGGCAAGACATCTCAAAGAGATCGAAAATGTGGACGAAGATCTAAAGTCACTTGTTCAATTTTTCATTCGCAACGACAGCCTCCTGAATGCCGCCGTTCAAGCATTACATTTCCGCATTGAGCTCGAAGATGATCTCCTAGAGTCTCTTTTCGATTCAATCCCTCAAAATCAAACGGCATTGCATGTCGCAGCTTATTGGAATCTTACGAGAACCCTCAGGACATTGATTGACTCGGGTCTCAGTATATCTCCAGCAGATACTCATGGCTGGACACCTCTCCACTACTCTTGTGCAAACCGGCATTTTTCCTCGGCCGAAATTCTCGTGAGAAGTGGAGCGGATGTCGATGCCGCAGACCATCAAGGGTGGACCCCTCTTTTCTGGGCATCATTCACTGGTAGTCTGGAAATTGTTCGTCTTCTTCTATCAGAGCACGCAAACTACAGGAAACGTAGCATATACGGTTGGACAGCACTGCACTGGGCTTTGTCCCGCGGCGAAACCGAGGTCGTTTTGGAGCTTGTGCGGCATCATCAGACGCAATTGTCGCTTGTTACCAAGGCTGATATTCGGACCCTCAGCGTCGATGATGTGAGACGGTTTAACACACCGGAGAACACTTCACCACTACAAATAGCAGCTGAGGGCAAGAATGATTTGATATTCGACTTCCTTGTAGCTCACTCTAGAGCACCGGATTCTACCGAACAGACCGATTTCGAAGAGATTTGGTCCAGAGAAAGCTTCAAAGTCCCTGTTTCTCAGAGCACGTGGCAAAACTCAATCAAGGCACAAATATACGGGGACCCAATGCCCGCGCCAGAGTCGATTTCCGGACAGACTTATGTAAGGGAGAATCCGTACGTGCACTTCTGTCATGAATTGAGAAAGAAAGATTCATCAGCATGGAAGTCAATTCTACTTGGCTCTGCCATCCACGATGCAGATTTCCAGGCAGCGAAGCTGTTCCTCGAACTTGGTGCAGATGTAAATTACATTTCTGAAAACGGATCGCTGTTGAGCGTCGCCGCGCAGCAGAGAGACCCACGTTCTGTGCAATTTCTGCTGGAAAAGGGTGCCAAAGGACCACAGACTGAAACGGAAGAGTCCATACTGAGCATTGCTATATCCTGCGGCAACTTGGAAACAGTGAAATTCATTCTCGACAATGACATTGTTCAGGTGAATGATTCGTATGGGCGTACAACACCTTTGCACGCAGCCGCGGGGCAACAAGATCCCCAATTCGCATTGCTTTTGTTATCTCAAGGGGCACAGGTTGAGCTTCAAGATTCCTATAACCGGACTGCCCTGGGAGTCGCAGTGACGAACGGACTCGTCGAGGCAGCACAAGCCCTGATTGATGGCGGTGCAGATGTCAACCAATTGTCACAGATTGCGTACACAGATGAATGGCAAACCTGCCTAATGAGCGCCGTTTTGCTTGCCGGTGGGAACAATGAAGAGCCGGAAAAGAGAGCCTCGGGAATTGAAATGGTTCGCATGTTGCTTTCAAAGGGGGCTGATCTCGGCTTCCAAGATGAAGAAGGCAAGACTGCGTTGCACATAGCAGCAGCGTGTCGCAGTGTGGAATGCATTAAACTTTTGATGGCGGCTGGTTCTAGCATTGAGACTGTCGACAAGAGTGGTAGGACTCCAATTCATTTCATGATGGAATCCGTGGAGCCGAGCTGGGATGTGGAAGAGGTGGAAGAACTTCTTCGCCTGCTACTTCGAGGGTTATCAGAAGACGCCGTCATTGCGTTATTGGCCCAACAAACTTGTCGATACACTAGTTCCAAGTCGCAGGGCGACACAACCATTTACCTAGACACGCCATTGACCAGTGTATTGAGGCGACAATACTGGAGTATAGCTCGTCTATTGATGGCCTTTGGAGCGCAGCCCCCCGCCGGCGCTAGCTTTCGGTCTATTTTGATGGATGCGATCAGTGCCCTTGAATGTCATATTGTGGAGACTCTTATAGGGAATGGGGTGTCACCAGGTGATGACGCTGTTTTGGCATTGGTAAAGGGTGTCGTTGACCGACTTAAAGGCGAACCTTCCTCTCTACTTTCTTCGCCTAGAAGGACAAAGATCACCAAAGCTGCAATTATGCGTATGCTTGCAAAGGCAAGGCTTCCAAATCTTCCTAAGCTTCCAGAACTTTCGCACAAGGAGATTGCGCAGGTCTCCCAGCAGATTCTGACTAGTTTGGCGTTGGCGGGCGCAGACATGAACTTTTGTGACCCAGAAGAAAACACAACTCCTCTTCTTCTCGCAGTCGAGAAGGTTCCGCTTGCTCTGGCTACGGCCAATCTATTGGAGTTTGGTGCTGATTGCTTCCATTCTTTGGAGAATGGATTTGATTATATTTTAATGGCTGCGGTAGTCAACAACACAGAGGCACTGCGTTGCCTAATAGCGCATGCCTCAACCTCGCCAAAGCCGGGGCATTGGACCCAACATTTGGAGTATCAGGGAGAATTAAGCGACAAAGAAATCTTCAACTGCATATGCCTGGCGTTAAAACGCGCCGAGAAGCTAGACTGCAAGTACTCATATGGCCAAACATTGTTGCACCTCGCTGCAGAAAAAGGAAACATCGATTTGGTCCTCAGTTTGATTTGCCATGGTGCTCATGCAGATATACCGGATGAAGATGGCTTCTTTCCCATCCATTGTGCTGCATTTTCACCACATGATTCGGCCCATGATGATGAGCAGCGCCGGCAGCCTCGTCATGATATAGTACAGCATCTTCTTCCAATGAATATGACGAAACTTACTTTCGATCATCATTTCTACCGCTCTATTGAAGGTAGAGCCTCCCAAGGTACAGAAATCTGTCAGCAGGTATCAAGCAGAGAGAATGAATTCGGAAGCACGATACTTTGGCGAGCTTTAGAAGACTGCGACGAGATCATGTGTCTGCATCTTCTCGAACTTGAGAACGATTTCAACTCTTGTGCCACACTTTCTCCAAACCACCCGTCAGTCCTTTACCATGCATCTGTCCGTGGGTTGACAAAAGTAGTGTCTTTCTTACTGGAAAGCAATGTTGATATTGAAAAGGCTGATATCTGTGGATGGCGTCCACTGCATGGCGCATCACACCATGGTCAAATCGCAATGGCCGAGAGACTAATTACTGCCGGAGCTACCGTCTGCGCTTCCACGACACAGTTCCACGAGGATTCCTTCACGGGCTCTGAGCATGACGGGGAGTTATGGAATGGTCATCCTCTTCATTTGGCCGCAATGGAGGGTAATGTCGACATGGTTGAGCTTCTTTTGAAGCATGGTGCAGATGTGGCTGCAAACACAGGATGCTTTAAAAGCCTCGATGGAAGCATACGGGGACCGACTGCAATTCATATAGCACTAAGTCCACAGAGATGGCATTTAGAAGACGAGGAAGACCGTCATGATGACTATCTGAAGATTGCTAGACTGCTGATTGAAAAGGGGGCTACTGTCGATGGTGTCTTGGATCAATTGCGGGTGAACGATATTCCAAAGTTCGAGGGGTATGAAGATGTCTGGGATAAGATTCGAGGCTATATATAAAACTAAGAAATTACAACATGATTCACCCCATTCCAGCCAATGATTCAATTTCAATCCCATCGATTCACAAATTTAATAACTTTTCCCGCAGTAGCACTCCTTTCGAACCCTCCAAGACCATCCAGAAACACGATTCGGAACAGATGTTCATCCTCAAGGGTTAAAAGAAAGAAAGCCTCCAAGCGCTTGATAAGATCGTCATTCGATAAAATGCCATCCCGGGGTGGGGACCGAAGCAGCCGAATTTCCAGCGTTGCCAGCGGTGTACCCTCCAACCGATCTAAAACGAGCTGCCACTGCAGAATACCACATTCCTCCGCCTGCATAAAAGCATCAATCCTCTCAAACTCAAAATAAGAGGCACACCACTTGAAGCTGAAACGATGGTCACGGCCGCGCAGTCGCAGCACACGGAGATGCTCCCGATCAGCTTCTGGAATCACTGCAAAGGCCGTGCTCGGGAGTGGGTGGATGGAGCCAATATCACCAGTAATGTAGCGCACCAACGGATTGTGTAGTCGCTGTAGAGATGTCTGCACGACAAGTCCTTGTTCTCCCTCTGGAAGCACGATCGAATCAGACGAAGATACGCCATCGACGGCAGAGGGAGAAACGATCTCAATCAGCATGCTGCGCATGTCAATGATGAAGTCAGTGCTGCTGCTGGTCAGGCTTTGCTCCCCTGTTAGTTCGGGACTGCTGATTGCCCAGGGACCTGCCTCTGCACTTCCCATGAGGGAGGCGATCATGACGTCGCCCAAAATCGACTTGATGAACGCTCGCTGAGAACCAGTTAAGGGCTCGGAGGTATAGATGATCTTGTCGAGACAGATGCGATTACGGTCCTCCTCTGCCATGAGGGAGATATGATGGACGGTTTGGACGATCTGGCTGCCGTCGCCGGTTAGGATGTTGACATGGTAGTCGGCCAGGGATTTGGCAACATCCGTAGGTGGCATGTGGTTTCCGGCGCTGAGAACGGTTGCTCCTGCGTTTTCCATGATTTCTGTCGTGAGATCGAGGGACCTTTTTTCTTAGGATATTTGTACCATCTCATGTTAATTTGGATCCAAGTACCTGTAAAACTCTCCAGCCGAATGAGTGGATAGGACCCAATCTCCGCGCTTAATGACACCGCACAGTTTGAGAAATTGCCCCATTTTCAATCTCTGCCGACGGTTCTCGTGCACATCCACGGCAAACATCATAGGCACTCCGCCAGAGCCACCGCCGGTAATGGTCATGTAGGAGCTTTCGCGATAGGTGTTCCGCGGGTCCACATCATGTGTGAGTCGCTCAATTGCCTTGTACCTGAACAAAATTAGCCTAGCTACAGCGGAAGTTCTGCGGAGACTGTCTTACAGTGTTTTCTTCCCAAGAAGTGGCTGCTCTTGGAATTCAGGTATCACGTTTTGGTCAATAACCAACTCCCGAAGTTTCTGAATTGTTTCTTCATCGGCGGGGTATACAATTTCTGGGTTATAAAAAGGGTGTTTCTTAGCGACGGCCAGCACCTCTGCCAATGTGTAAGTTTCAGTTGTCATTGCGAGAATCTATGACAGGGAACCTCGGTCGAAGGGGACCGCTGTGAGGTTATTGGTGGTGTTTTCGATTTTGATTTAGAACTGATGGGTTATAAGACAATAGCGACAGGGAAAAAAAAAGCAAAACCATGAGAGAGTAAATTGATGCGATGTATCAATGGGGCAAATATTAAGGTGGAGTAGCTGAGGTGGTGGAGCTGAACTACGTGTATACGTGCCATGTAGATCAGCCGAAGCTGCAGGAACGAAGACTAGACATGTAGGGACCAATTATATCAATATTGAGTTTCCCTAATAGAACTATGTGCGGGTGTAATTTAAACAAAGCTATTCTCCTAATTTATACTAGTTCGCTTGATGAGTTTTCAAGTTGAATTTATTATTACCCATGAACCTGTACGTTATAGAACCCCCAATTAATATATACAAGACAATTTGTTTCTCCAGCAAAAGTTCTTTAGACTATGACTCTTCTTCAGAATGGGAACGGGGCGCTTTCTCGGTATCCTGTGATCCTAAGAAGCACATCGAAAGAGCAGCGAGGAAGAGATATACGAAACCTGTTACTATTAGCAAAGCATACCCTAATGAGGTCAAATGACTTACTCCAAGTCCAGCTCATGTATTTATAGCCGACTATTCCCTTCAACAAACCACCTATGACAGGGCCAACCATCATCCCGAGTGAAGCAGCAACGTCCATCATAGAGAAAATGCGTGACATGCCTCCTTTGGGCCCGAAAATGCCCGGGGACCTTTCCTGCATTGCTTTAGTAGTAGCTGGAATATATGTCTTAGTACTGTCATATTTCATATCTTGGGGAGGCATGACTTACCCGTCAGTTCGACAGGCGCGATACCAGTCACAAATGGCCGCAAGATGCCTATAGCAACGATACAGCCGGCATAAAGTGGTTTGCCCATATTCTGAGCACTCGCCCAGGGAATATCGCCACCAGCAATACCCATCAGGCCAAGCATTATTGCCTGAATAATAGCACAGACAACGGTAGGGATTTGTGCTCCAATTCGATCACGGAGACAACCAGCAACGGGACCGATCAAAACACCCGGAACGACAAGGCCAGCAAAAAGGAGTCCAGTCGTGCTAGGGCCCCATCCGAATTTCTCTTCGACGTGGAGAGGAAGGGTCGCATCGAAACTGGTGCTCATGGTTGTGCCCATGACGATCGTCAGCAGACAAGTCATGGCACGACCATTGCGTAGAATTATACCCCATAGATTTCGGGGCTTGGATGGCATTTGGTGTTCTTGGCAAGAGGGAAGCAAACTTGCAGTCTCTGTTAGACTGTCATCGGGCGTAGAGACAGGAGTGGCTGGACTCTCGATCATACACACGCGTGCAATAAAGTCTATAGTGAGAACCACGAGCGGGACCGACCACGTTAACCAGTAACCGGCAACCTCCAAAAGCAGCCCAGCAATTGCAGGCCCGCCGATTGTCCCAGTGTTTGCGCAAGACATCATTACACTCAATGCAAAGCCTATATTATTCGGACTGATAGTGTCTGCCACTGTTGCAAAGCCGATAATCCACACAGCAGACCCCGCGATACCTTGCATCGAGCGGCCTAATAGTAGCACAGGGACCGAACGAGCACCGGCAACTATACCCGTGCCGATAATACACCATGCGAGAGATATCAGCAGTGTGGTCTTGCGGTTTTGGTTCTTGTCGGCGAAATGACCGATGATGGGGGCCGAGAGCATGGCGAGAGTACCATGGAGGGCGAGAACGGCGGATGTCAACTCCTGGGTTTTTGATGGATGAACATGGAGGCGATTCTGGAGCATTTCTCCCAGAATAGGGACTAGAAAACCATAGAGGAACGTTTCTACTTGGTATTAGGGTATTGTTTCAAATATGTTGGAGGGGAATACAGACCAGCAAACAGCGCGATTGCGACGGTTGAGAGAATGAACCATTTGGAGGACCGCCAAATGTAGCCTATTGGTAAAGGTTTCTCTATAACGCTCATGTTTGGGGATGATATGATTGAAACTTGGAAAGCACCCAACGACTTATGAGAACCCAGCTGTTTCAAAACTTCTCCTGAAGTACCTGGACTCTATAATTTCAGCAATGCAGGTTGCCGGCCCTTACTCCGTACATGAGATGAAAGCCAATCGAGTATTTTTATTATATTTATTATATTATATTTGTGTATTATACACATTCATTACGCTCTCCATATAACATGAAAAGGGTCGAATCCCCGAATGGGTAAGCTCAGCCGCTTCTATATGGGTCTCTGGTGTGATCGTCACGAGTGGTTCGCCTTTCTGAACGACAAAGAATACAAGTTGAGATTATTCAGGAACGATGGAACAAAGGGAATTGTCCTTTGCATATTACTCCATCTGCATGCCGGTCATACAGTAATGTACAATTACATGCCCCTTTCCTATATGATCGGTCAGAGCTAAATCTAGGTCCTTTTTCGCTCTATACTGCATATGGATTCGCCTGATATTTTTTTTTTCTTGGTTTATTTGAAGCTGTTGGTATATGTAGTTGAAGCGCAGGCTACCATCCTATATCCCCATTATAACTTTGCTATATCTGCTTGTGCAAAATGAATCGACTTTTCCGTGCTATTCCTACAGCCAGAGTGACAGCTGCTAGATATTCTACCCAGCCTATCCGTATGTCTCGTCTGCTCTTTCTCCTTTCTGTTACTGACTATGACCAGGAGATCAAAGAATATCCAGTCTGGTCCCCCTGATCAATGTTGCAAAACCAGCATTCGCCTCTGACGCCTCCCACTTGAGGGAGGTCCATGAGAACCTCGACGCTAAAGGAGTGGTCCAAGTACAACTGGGGTTCGGCGACGAGGATAGCACATACCTGCAGAGCCTGATATCCAATCTTCACAAAAATCACAACCACGGTCTCCCTATAACCCACAGTGCCGAGCGTGGTTGGTTTTGGGATGTTCGGCCTTCTCCAGCAAGCTTCCAAAGCAATGGACACCAAGCTCGATCAGAGACAATGACTCAGTTTGAATGGCACACCGACTGCAGCTACGAGGAGCAACCTCCGCGATTTTTTGCTCTTCAAGTCCTTCAGCCAGATCGTTGTGGCGGTGGGACATTGTCCGTTCTGAACGTCGATCGACTCCTTACCTTGCTTTCACCTTTCGCGCGACAGTGGCTCTCCAGCCAGAACTACAAAATTACCGTCCCTCCCGAGTTTGCCAAAACTTCAGGGGAACAGCACATTGTGGGCAATCTGCTCGCGGTAAAACCCAGTGGCAATTCCGGTAGTCAACTGCGGTTTAGGGAAGATATCACTGTGCCCTTGACTCCGAATGCGGCCAAGGCTCTGGATGAGCTGAAAGAAATTTTGTACAGTGGCGCACGGGAAGAGACTCTCCATCTAACACCCCAGAGTCTCCCCCAGGGATCAATCATCATGATGGACAATCGACGATGGCTCCATTCACGCAATGAAGTGAAAGACCCCAACCGACATCTTCGGCGAGTCCGATGGGATGCGTCGCCATTTGGACCTAGCAGTTCATAACCTTTGTCATTATTGTATCGGTGTAATGTCGTACATACGATCTCATCGACTGTTTTAATGTAATTTTTCAATGCCTGCAGGCCCCACTTCCCTATGCAGATCTCTTGTCTGATTTCTCAGACGATACATCTGCAATACATTAGCACATTCGATTATGCAGGAGATAGGGATCATCTATGGAATCTGACTTGTCCACCTCAGCTCGGGAGTACTAGCTGTCGTTAGCTAGTTTGCCTTCAGCATGAAGGACTTATATACGGAGTACTCCGTGTCATTTTTATCTTCTGTCATCAACCCAAATTTTCTACTTACAAAATGAGAAACAAAAGATTAGACCCTCTTCAATTGATCAGCTTTCCTGATGACGTGGATCACTCACCCGTGTCATCTGAAGGACTGGATGTGAACCTCCTGAATCAACACCGCCGCAGTTATATCTCAAGACTGAACAGCTGTTCCTCTTCTTGGCCAGCCGGATCTGTGGATGCATCCTGTCCTTATCCCGTGTTGATCACTCAACGGCACGACGATGAGTTGAGGAACTTACACCTCGCCCTGAAATTGGCAATTGAGGATATCATTGAGCGATGGTGGACGGATGAAGAAGCCCAGTTCCCTTTGCGCATGCCGTTGGAGCCGGAGGAGGAAGACTTATTGCGCGTGAGCTACCACCCCTTCTACTCTCACATTATCGTATACTGAGTGGTTGTTCTTGCAATAGTGGATGCACTTGAACCAGGACCTGTTCCCGCCATGGAATGAACGACAAGGATCTTGGAGACCAGACTTTCTGGTAGAGAAAGATGAAGCTGGCTTGGAGGTTTTTCGCATTTGCGAGATCAACGCGAGATTCTGCTGGAATGGCTACATGCATGCCGGTTTTGGCCAGGAGTCGTTTTCGGCATTCAATATTGAGTCGCGAGGTCTGACTAATGTCGTGGAAGCTGAAACGGTAAGTAGATAGATATATTTTGTCCTCATTGAGGCAGATTGCTAATGATCTCAAATTGAAGATCATTGGTGGATTGTTGGAACTATTCGACAGCAAACTTCCTTTGCACCTTGTCAAAGGCAAAGAACACGGGTTTGATATCTTGATGTTTATCGAATTCGCGCGGAAACTCGGGATAAAACTACGACTCATAACTCCAGACACTCTCCGACTCATCCCAAATCCCTCCCAGTCCGGGAAAGTGGGATACAAGCTGTGCTGTCTCGCCGAGGCAGAGGCTGTTGGCACAATCACAACCGAGTCCGGCGAGATAGTGGAAGAGATCCATCAAATTGGTCTCGAGCTTCACCAGCGGGAGATCAATGCTCTTGGCCAGGAGATGAAACGTCAGATCAGCCTACGGTGCTTCAACGACATGCGAACTATCCTCCTTGGCCATGACAAGAGGATGCTGGGACTTGTTCTTGAAGAGTTGGACTCTTTGATTACCAGGAACATCATCACCCCCAAGCAGGCCGAATGGCTTGAGCGAGGCGTGGCTCACACGGTTCTACCAGGCTCGACAGGATTGAACCAATTTATTGAGAATTGCAAAGCCTCAGATGCGTTCCAAAATGAGTACCTCCTGAAACCGATTAGGGGTGGAAAGGGAGCTGGTATCTTGTTTGGTGATGAAATCGGTCATTCCGACTGGCTAGCTCTGCTGGAACCGATGCGGTGCCCGAAACTGAAATCTGGAAACACCCTCTACGTTGTGCAGCGCAAAGTTCACCAACCATACTATAACGTGCTCTTGGGATCGAATGCCAAACCTGAACGCTGTCATATGGTCGGGACCTATCATGCAGTTAATGGTCACTTCCTTGGACTGGGGACTTGGAGATGTAGTCCTGGGAGATTATGTGCAATCTCGAATGGGGCTACCTGGATATGTTCGGTCAAGCAATCCTAGCTCTATGCAATCAAGTTTCCTTGTCTTCTGTAAGATGGGAAGGTTTTAGTTCATTGCAGGGAGTAATTTTCCCCTGCCAGCTCCTTACCTGTACATGTAGTTCTGTTATAGCTTTGTAGATATTTGTCTCTTGTTTTTATCATTTCCAATGAATCAATACCTTCAGCTTAGATACATCCTACCGATCAGCCATGGATCACTATTCATACTGAGTATTGACTATCATTTCCGTGACATTCCGGGAAGTTAAGACGTGAGATTGACGGGCACTCGCATACTTTACTTTCGACATGTATGATGTGACAAGCTAGGGCGAAATGGCTCAAGCTGAAAAATGTGACATGGCTTTAGCTAGTGTGCTGGTAGGGTAACCCATGCTAAGTCTCACTAGCACAGGGGTAAAAGATCGTGGCTCCAGCTGAAGAAATGGATTATCTGATCGCTAATATGCACCTAAGTGGATCTCGGGAGGTACCCCTTGTATGCATGTACGTAAAACATTTGTATAAATTCACTAGTCTAGATCGTGGATCTTTAGCTTCTCAATGCAATATAATACATTTACGGAGTAATTCCAACCGAGTTCCCTGCAGAGCATCTTGCAGATCTGTGGAGCATGTAAGATTATTGCAGACTGAAGATTTTGCACTGACCAATCAACATGACCACATGGGAGCACATCACTTTGCTTTTATAGGTTCGTTGTCCTTGATGTTGACACCTCAGGCCCCCGGGCAATAAATCAGAGTAGACAAGTCACCGCCAATTACCTACACTGTCTTTGTTGTTCGACGTGCTATTTTCATCCAACCCTGCCTTCTCCATACACAGCATCAACAAACATGTCTTCTTTGCCCCTATAGCAACCATTCTCAATGGTCGTCTTACTACCGTCGTTATCATTCCCATCTCCATGATCTCGCTGGGTATGTGGTATGTTCTTGGGTGACCCAAGTCCAGGCCGTATTGCCGTGGCATGAAAGTCATTGCAAGCCACTGTACTGTCAAATAAGAAGTTCCCACGGTCTGTAATCGCTTCCACCAGCCTAATTGATATCCTTGCTGTCTAGCAAACAGTCCTGACTGCAGCGTGAATAATGACCTTATGAACTAAACAAACTCGAATTTTGTGGGCTTAGTCTAGCAGAATGGCACTAAGATGACTTACTAACAACCGAGCCGATGGAATGTAATGAGTTCTACGCATTTGCAGTGAGTGTTGGAGAGGATTGAATGCAACATTTGAATTCGATGTACCATAGTAGTTACTATGTTCACAATATGGTACATAGTATCTTCGGGTATAATAATTGAGTCTCGTCACTCTTGTTGATGAGCAGCATACATCAAAGCGATCTCTATCATTCAAAAGGCCAGCAAGTTGGTCACGAGTGAAAGAAGTAAAGACCCATATCTTCCGGAACAGATATAAATTTCACTTAGTTGAGGCTCATAGCCTAGCTACTTCCTTATGGGTAGACTTGGTATTCATCAAAGCCGCCCGAGACTTCAAGTTCAGCCTCTTCCACATAGCCTTGCGGCGTTCATGTCCCTCGAAAAATGCCCTCGCCCACTCGCGGCGGAACTTGGGCAGCTTTCGTCCCTTGCCCTCCTCCCCCTCACCAGCCAAACGTCTCAGCGTCTCAAAGTAGTCCTCGAAATCTGGGAAAAGCAATGTAAACTTCACACCATCACCCCGAGCCTTAACCCGATCCGCTTCCCATTTTTGCATCACTTCGAGAGACGGTAAAGTAGCTCGGCCAGCCAGCAGCCGCGCAGCTAAAACCGATTGCCATTCGAAGACCTTGAACGTCAGACCGGCCGCGACGGCGCCGACAAACAATAGTGTCGGGTCTTTTTGCCAAACAACGTGTTGATACAGATCGGGGACCCGGTTATTGCGGACTGGGACTGCCGGTAGGAATGGCAGCGTCCAGCTGTAGCCTGTACCGAAGACTATGTGGTCGACGTCCGTGATGCAATTGCCGTTCGTCAGGTGCACAGTCCTGTTCGAGACTCGCTCTATTGATGGATGATTTTGTATCTTGGGGTGATTGAATGCCTCACCGCCGAAGTACCCGTTAGCAGCATGGCCGATTGTAATTGCGTGGACTGGTTCCTTTGCGGTTTCCACAAGATCGAATGCAAGGTCGGCTGCTGAGACAGATGCGCCCACAACCACAACTCGCTGGAATAAACACGTTAGCATGATGACCCTGAGACAATGCAGTTTTGCAAATTCAAAGTCTAGCTTACCTTGTCAACAAACGCCTGTCTCCCGCGGAAGTGTTTGCTGTGAAGTACGCTGCCCGGTCTGGTCTTCTCGAATGCCTCCAGGCCTTCTATCGGGGGTATATATGGGACCCAGAAGTGCCCACTCGCCACGACGACCGCATCAAACCACTCAACCCACCAGTAATCACTCTTCTCTCCATCTTTACGGAGTGTTACTTTCCACTCCGTCCCCACCTTCTCGACCCGTTCGACTGTAGTGTTGTACGAGACCCAATCGCCATAACCTCGGCGCTCTACGAGACTCCTCACGTATTTCCGTACCACATCCCACTTTCGGAATGGGGTTTCAGGTCCGTGGTGAGATATGGAGAGCTCGCTGCGCTCTTCTGGGAAAGGTTCTTGGGCGAATTGCATGGGCAGAAAGTCGATATTGGTTTCCAAATAAGGGTAAACGGACGACTCGGTAAACCGGGGCTGGTCTGACTTTGGGGTCTGCGCAGGTAAACTTTCGGGGATAGGTATTGGGGGATCTGCTGTTCTTGTCGCTAGAGATGCAAAGTCGCGGAGCGTTGGAGGTTGGGATGAGTCGCCAATCCTGAGCTTTTGTCAGCCATCGTCCAAGAAGCTATAGAGAAAAGAAAAACAAACGGACCAGCATCCTCCTGGGCCCTCGCGACGCTCAAATACACGGATAATGTCAAAGGTCTTTTCTTGCGCCAGAGCATCTATGGCAATGGCTCCCGCCGGCCCGGCGCCGATGACCGCGACTCTTTTAACAGGCACCATGGTCATTAGAATTAAATTGTATGAAATCAAATTACCCCGGGATTTAATTAGATATATGCAATGCAGGGGAGATCCCGATCGCAAATGCCGGTCTGGGGATCTGTGGCCCCCAAAGGGCTCGTTGCTGTCGTCGTTTATGGGTCTCGTCACGCCATTTTGGCGTCGCGGGGCCACCACGAAAGCAACCACTTACGAAGCCAGAAACTTCAGAGATATTTATCTTCAAAGCCCTTCAAATCCCGTTGGGATGAGAAGCCTAGCAATAAATTGCAATTGAACAGTTCAAGCCCTGGCGTCATTCAAAGGATTATCATAGCACGCCATATTGTAAAGAAATTATGTTAGGGCTAATGAGGTAAATCCTTAGCAGTAGTGATAAGAGTAAGCCATGTAGTCTGTGATTTTTATATAGATTATACAGGGTCTTTGAAGCCTTGCAGTCGCTGTCTCTGCCTCTCTCTTTTACCAGTCTATCTGAGGGCAATGATATAAAATGGATATCAAAATGAATGACGAGAAGCTAGACATCAAGAATAGCCCGTCTGAGGAGTCTACTTTATCGTCACTGTGCATATTGCCCGAATGGGATCTCAGCCATGAGCAAAAGGCTCGCAGAAAGTAATCACCAATGCCCCTATGTATAGAGTATCACTATATGCTGACGTTCATTTCTCTCAAGGATCGATATGACGGTGCTACCTCTACTTTTCCTCGGTCTTCTTGTTTTCCAGCTCGACCGCATGAACATCGCGAGCGCATTGACTGGTGGGTTCGCCACCGACATCAACATTTCACAGTCCACAGTCAATTTGGGCAATCAGCTCATGTTCATGGGTATTGTGGTCTTTGAGATACCATGTAACATGGCCTTACAACGAGTATGTACAGAACCACCGTCCTAAACCGTCTGATCCTAATATGAACTTTGAAAGGTTGGACCTCGCAAGTGGATTTCAGCCCAGGTATTTCTCTTTGGCTTACTTGCTACCATGCAAGTATTCATTCGCAGTCGAGGGCCGTTCCTAGCTATACGGCTGCTTCTAGGGTTCGCTGAGGCAGGGTATATTCCTGGTGCAGTATATACCTTGTCGTCGTGGTATACGAAAAGAGAATTGGCGAAGAGAGTTGCCATTTTCTTCTTTGGGATGTTTGGTGGCAACGCTCTTAGTCCTATCTTGGCCTCTGGTATTCTGATTCTCGATGGCCGACACGGTATTCGAGGATGGCAGTGGCTCTTTCTAAGTATGTGTGTTCTAAATACAAGACTTCATTCGCTAACACGTCAACAGTTGAGGGGCTATTCACTATCTTCGTCTCATTCCTTCTATCGCTACTCCTACCTGGATCACCCGATCTTACCAGGCCATTATTAAGCCCGGGACTTATCAAGTTCTCTGAATCCGAGAAGGAGATTCTTCAAAAACGACTCGAAAAAGACAATGGTGGAAGCACAGAGGGCGCGTATGGCGTGCATATTCCGTTGAAAGTCGTCTTTCGTACTGTGGCTTGCTATCGTCGCTGGCCGCACTTTATATCTACATTTGTCGTGTTCTCGACTTGGAGTCCTCTAACCACTTACACCCCATCCATCATAATGTAAGTTTTCACTTCTGTCCATAGATGGATACGATCTGAAGCTCATTTATACAGGTCACTCGGCTTTGACAGAACATCAGCAAACGCTCTGGCTGCAGTCGGCGCATTCCTATCACTTGGGGTAGTATTCTTCTTCGCCTACATGAGCGATCGGACCAATCGCCGAGGTGCATCTGTTATCGCTGCTCAGGTCTGCTACCTCATTGCCCTGATTATAACTCTCAAGGTCCAGCCCCATGTCGGTAAATGGTCCCGTTGGGGGCTTTGGACTGCAGTGAATAGTTTCGCTGTGGGATATCATCCCATACATAACTTTTGGGTTCAGATCAACTGTCGAGACCCGAGAGAGCGGAGTATCAGCATCGCGTGAGTTTTTCCTATCCTATGTTGGCCTTGACTAGAGCTGATGGGAGAGTCGATTACAGAATGTGGGTTATGTCTGCAATAAGCGGCTTAATGGTTGGGACACAGTACTTCCAAGCGGGTGACAAACCATTGTAAGTGAAGGTATTCTCCGGAATTCATTGCCGAACAGTTTCTAATATAAACAGTTATTCCACGGGCCTACGTACCATGATCATTATGGTATCTGTGGGGATTGCGAGTGCTTTAGCGCAGATTGTTATTTATGTCGTTCATAATAGGCGTGTTGCTCAAGGAAAGCATCAACCCAGGGACGGATCAACGCCTATGGTGTATGTCCCTTGAAAGTGGCAAATCTTGAAATATATAAAAATGAGAAACCAATAACGATTCCGTAAGACATGAATGATATTTGTTACAGTGGGATAATATGTTCTGGGCCGCCTTGGGTACGACATAGGAGTAGTCTAACCCTTGTATGTTAGATGGTTCTGTACAGATTCTAGGTTTCACGCCTTAGGCTGAACATCCTCATCCTGGATCTGCTCCAGATCAACGTCCTGCGCCATTGACTGTTCCTGGGCTAAAATTGAGTTAGCACGGATTGCAGACAGGAATGGAAACAAACAACTTACTATTCCAAAGCTCTGCATAAATGCCGTCACGCTCGAGCAACTCGCGGTGTGAGCCCATCTCTGCCACATGGCCTTCCTTCAGGACCAGAATTTGGTCACTGTCGGCGATTGTGCGTAGGCGATGAGCAACAAACACACTTGTGCGGCTCTTCTCTTTGAGAATGCTGTTAATATTCTGGAGGAGGGCCTGCTCCGTGTAGGTATCTAGGGCGGAAGTCTACAAAGAGGGTGATTAGTTACCTCAATTAACCGCTCAGCTGGCGGACGAAGGAGGAAATGAACACTTACTGCCTCATCGAAGAAAAATAGTTGTGGGTCCTTCAAGATCAACCGAGAAATTGCCAGCCGCTGCTTCTCGCCACCGGAGATCATCATACCACGCTCACCAACTGCAGTTTCGTAGCCATCAGGCAGACCATCAATGAGCTTGTGGATGTGGGCTCGCTCTGCAGCTCGGCGCACTTCTTCGTCCGATGCATCAATCCGTCCATAGCGGATGTTGTGCGCGATTGTGTCATTGAACAGCGGTGTATCTTGCGGCACCACTCCAATTGCCTTGCGAAGGCTGTCGACGGTTACATCGCGGATATCCTGGCCGTCAATCAAGATGCGGCCGGACTGGACGTCATAGAAGCGGAACAGCAGACGTAAGATTGTAGACTTGCCGCAGCCGCTAGGGCCGACAATGGCGAACTTCTGCCCTGCTGGGATAGTGAAGGTGGCATTCTTGAGAATCGGCCGGTCTGGGTGGTAACCGAAAGTGACATTCTCAAAGTGAATCTTGCCGCCCTGCGTCAGCTGCAGCGGCTTGGCGTTGGGTCGTTCCTGGATGGTGACGTTCACCTTCTGTAGGTTGAAAAGTGTCTCCATGTCCAGCAGGGACTGGCGCAGCTCACGGTAGACAGATCCCAAGAAGTTGAGGGGGACCGAGAGCTGGAAGACCAGCTGGTTGACCATGACTAGGTCACCGACGGTCATGGATCCGTTCGCAACTCCATTGCAAGCCAGGTACATCATTGCGGCCAGCGCAGAGGAGAATATCATGTTTTGACCAGAGTTGAGGAATGCCAGAGATGTAGTCACCTTGATTGATGCGTCTTCATACCTCTTCAAAGCCTTGTCATATCGTGCCACTTCGAATTTCTCGTTATTGAAGTACTTGACGGCTTCATAGTTGATGAGCGAGTCCACAGCAACAGTTGCTCCGCGGTTATCAGCTGCATTTGCCTGTCTCCGGAACTTCGTTCGCCACGCCGTTGTAGTGATAGTAAACGCCGTGTAAGCGATCATTGTTGTTGTAGTGATAGCGGCAAATTGAAAGCCATATTGATAAGTCTACAGCACGTTAGTAATGTAGAAACGAGAATGCTCGTTGTCTTCCGTTATCAAATCATACCAGGATACCGCAGACAAGCGAGATTTCAAGTGCTGTCGGGACCACATGGAAAACCATGGAGGTGAGGAGGAAGCTGATGCCCTTAGTACCGCGATCAATTGCGCGGGTCAGACCTCCGGTCTGCCGAGAGAGGTGAAAGTTGAGATCCAGTCGCAACAGATGTTCAAAAACGTTTGATGCCACCTTCCGAATTGCCTTCTGCGCAACACTAGCAAATACCGCGTTACGGAGCTCTTGAAACAATGTAGCCCCAATTCGGGTCACGCCATCTAAAACATGTTAGCGACAATTCCCTTCTTCAATGTGTTGTCATCCTTACATGCAATAATCATTGACCCAGCCACGGTATAGGCCGTTCCGCCGACGGTAGCAAAATCTACATTCATGGAGTCGACAATGTTCTTAAAGTAGAAGGGGATCTCCACATTGAGGATCTATATTGGATTCATATTAGCATGGCATAATAGAAACACAATAACAGATGGAGCTTACTTTTGCTCCAATAAGCAGCGAAAGTGCTGTGCCGACACGGAGCTTCGTGCCCCAATCATCCTACCGGCTATAGTCAATACCCTGTTACTCTATACCAATACCACCACACTCGGGAATTACCTTCGGCCACAGATACTTGGCCATTTCTTTCATGATAGCCCAGTCTGCCTTTCTTTGTTCCTTTTTTCCGGCCATAGGCTCACTCAGCAGGTCCTTCTTTGGTGGGGTCTTCACATTGGGGCTATCTTCCGGCTTCTGGACGATATTGGCGTGTGCTAGTTGTGATGGAGCGGGGGTAGAGGTAGGAGTCGTTTTGACAGATGCATGATCCTTATTGTCTGTGGATTGACTCCGTAATGAATTGTTATTTGATGTAAACGCGCGCAGGTGTGTTCCATTGAGTCGCGTGCTTCGTAGCTGACCGGCGAAGCTCGGATGTGCGAATTGCGCTGTGCGCCAGCACGGCGATCGTGCGGCCCTGAGAAGCATGGTCGCTTGATATGATATTCTCTGAGCTCCGAAGTAGTTCGAGTCACTGAGAGGATGTTCAAAGGCGCATAGTGGGAGCGAGTAAGAAAGATTGACGTGCAGTAGCTATGTCTCCGAAAGCTCGTGGGGGGTAATTGCCGGCTTCGGAGAAAAACCCGTCGCTCTCGATGGAAAGTCCAGGATGGTCGCAAATAGTCAAGTAAAGGTAAGATGCAGAATAAGAATGTAAATAATTGAAGAACTTATAATAAAACTTCCAAATGTCGCAATTCCGAGGGGCAGTTGTGTACTTCGTAGGCCGCATCGCTCTCGGGCCCACGATTTTCCCGGTTTCCCTTTCGTCACAACTGACGTAAATTCTCCCTTCGGTAGCCCTGGAGTTTTTGCTCTTTTTTCATACACAATGCGCTCCGTCCAAGGTGTTCGGACACTGCCCTGGACTCGAGTTGTTCCTCGCGTCCATCGGCAAACGCGATGCGTTCAGATTCGCGCCGCGCCTTCGGGAGTGCCTTCGGTCAATGGCGACAATCTGCCACTCGCTAGCACGCCCAGCTCTGTTGAATCACGAGGTAATTACAATTCACCTGGGGGATTGGCGATGTGACACTGACAATGAGGTCACATAGATGCGCGATTCGATGTCGTCGGCGCTCCATACTCGCTCCTTTCGGTTTCGCTCTCGGCCTCGCAGAACCTATATACCCGACGCGGAACGTTGGTTGGATTGAGCGGCAAGGCGGATAATGTATGCGATCCCGCGATTGTGTTGTCCTGGGGGAACGGTAATGCTAATGCATAGTCTGCGCAGGTGGTTTCCACTTTGAGCGTTCTAGAACCCTTCCGGAGGGCTATCGTCGGAGTGCCCTTTCTCTATCAGAAGGTTAGATGCGCGATGCAGACGAGAACCTAAAGACAGCAATTGACAATTCCCCAGGTCTCCTCACCAACACCCGTCACAGCACTCGTTTCCGTTCGATCCCCCAATACGTCCTTCGCCGTCGTGAACGTCAATGGTTCCGTGGACTGGATGGTTGCCCAGAGACGGGCTTTGCTTGCATGGACCGGCCGGTCTCTGTCCATTAAGCCGACTATCAACGCAAACCTGGTTAGTGGAGTTGTGATCGCGTACGATGGAATACAAAGCTAATTTGCGCAGAGCTTGTCTCATTGGGGTAGCTCCGAAGTGACCGGCAGAGGTTTAATAGCGTTGGTTGGAAATGGACAGCTATACTCGGTCGAACTGAAGGATGGCGAGCAGTACATTGCGCATCCCAGGTAAGACCCTCAGCTGCGATTGCACGTCTGACGTCGCTAAATTTTTATAAACAGCAATGTGGTTGCTTACACGATGGCCTCCAACCCTCCTCGCCCTTACCGTTTCAAATCCACCACTCTCAACTTCCAGGTCCCGGGCCTAAAGACACTACCAAGACTTCTGCAAAATGCCAAGTTCGTTCGTGACGTGTCTGATTCCAAGGCATACAAAACCACTATGCAATGGTTCCACAAGCTGCGTACCTGGTCTCGAATGACCATCTGGGGAGATAGAGTATGGCAGTCCCAGATTTGTCCTTCAGTATTCCCCGACTAACAATGTTATCTAGCTCTTCCTACAGTTTGATGGTCCCATGACCATTCTCGTGCAATCCCGCGGTCCTCGTCTCAACGATGTTTTGTCCGCACAGGAAGCCAATGAGATTGCCAATGTCCCTAGTGGCTTTACCTCGCCCGCTCCTCGGTTCACCGAAGGCGAAAAGACACATGAGGAAAATACAGAAGCCGTAAAGGCCGTCAGCGATATCCCTGGCCTGACGCGCTCTGTTGAGGAACTAGAGCAGGAAATCCAAGGAACAAGCCAAAGCGTTGCAAAGATCCGCAAAGATGGAAAGGTCGAGATTGAGGAAGTTGGTCGCACAAACTAAATAGAAAGACTCGCTTCAAAAGGGTCGGCTTGGAGGAGTTCTCTTCGCGTTGGGTTATGTACGGGCTAGAGCGGTCTCCATTTGGGATTATCACGTTGCATCCTGTACAGTATGGGCATTTCTTTTATCTTGGCAATTGCCGACAAATCTTCATTCTTTGCTTCTGATCTACAGATTCTACTTTACCTGTTATTTTCACCCTTCGAGTAGAAAGAGCAGGATCAAACGTGGTCTCGGGATTATTGAGGTGAAGCTGTGGAGGAATCTCCTTTTTTCCACTCCTGTAACTGAGCATCCAAGTGGGACGCCCTGTGGGCTAGATGATGCTAGATGATGCTGTATGGAAACACAGCCTGGAAATTTGCATGGCTGGCCTTGCCCGTGCGGTACGTTGGACTTGGCCCCATACATCTCGTTCAATATGGTTTTGGTGAGCATTGACAGCTTGGACATCAAGTACTTGTACGAAAGAAGGTTGACTTGATCCTGACTTCTTGTATTGACTGAAGCAGATGGGTATCCAATGGGCAGAGGCTCCAACCACCTTCAATTTGGGGCCGCGCTAATGCAGTCTGTCCCCACGTCACCTCCCCGCCAGATCTCTTTGGACACCTAAAATATATGTTTATCTTACCATTTTGGTGCAAATGTGAGTGGCGAGATGGAAGCCCCGAAAAAGAAAGATGAAAGAAAGGGCAGATGGAAGCCGTTTTGGAGGAAAAAACTGTCACGATCGGGATCCCCTACCCCTCGACGTGAGACCTCGCAATCATCGGCAAATGAGCGTGTGGGCAATGAAGACTCGAACTTGCCAAGATCCTCTTTGTCAATCCATGCACCTGCAACGGATAATGAACAAGCTACTGAGGCGCCTGCATCGACTTCTCTCTGGGATAAGGCCTACGACTCCTTGAAAGAAGACGAAGAGAAGAAAAAGCTCCTTGAAGCCTATGAAGAACTTGCTAAAGGTATGAGATCAATAGTCTCAATATTAACTAGCGCCATGTTTGATTGCTGTCCGTGTAATCACGGGGATTCAAACTCGTATCATATCCCAATGAAGTCTTTATAGCCCTAAGCTTACCGGTCACCAACAACCAGGACAAATCTCAGCCTTACCAACTTCGGACACTAATGGTGACCCATCTCCTGTCACAAACCAGATTCCACAGCATGATGTGGCGACCCGCGAAGAAAGGCTCAACAAGATCAGCACACTGGGACTGGAGCATGTGGAGGACAAAAAGGTCACACTAACGCTGTTGGGTCACAAAGTTCCTCTACAGCAAGCCGTCTTCAATATAGGCACTGCTGTCCAGAGGACTCAGAATCTTGTAAAAGATGCGATCAAGGACGTGCCATACGCACCCATCGTGATAGCCTGTGTCTCACTCGTTCTTCCTCTATTAACACATCCCTCAGAGGTCGAGACAGAAAACAGCGAAGGTTTTGCCTACGTCACGTCCCAAATGCGCTACTATGCAGCCATGGAGGATCTTCGTTTGCCCGGGGAAGAGAAATTGGAGGTCAAGAGTGACATTGAACAGCGGGTCATCGATCTATACAAGCTTATCATCGACTACCAAGTTCAAAGCATACTCAGATTTTACCGGCACCCGGTCAGGGAATATTTCAGAAGTGTCGTGAAATGGGATCCCTGGGAAGATATGCTGGAAAGCATTAAGGAAGCAGAACAGTTGCTGGATTCAAAATTACATGCGATAATGTCAAAGGCATCTCTGAAAGTGCTGGAAAACATGTCTCAAGAAGCGACAAAACTGCGCGAGCAGCTGAAAAGTGATCTGCCAAAGCTCATTTCTATTAGCCAAGACAGCAACATCATCCTACGACGGATTGTTGAAAGGCTCTCTAACGACACAAATGGGCGCGTTCTTAAAGATTTCACAAGAAGAACAAGTGACCCCAGGTTCGCTAAAAAAAGAATTGAGAGTACCAAAGGCGGCCTTCTCAAACCATGTTACGACTGGATCCTGAGGCATGAAGACTTTCTGCACTGGCGACATATCCCAGAAAATCGGCTGTTGTGGCTCCGGGGAGATCCAGGCAAGGGCAAGACGATGTTGATTTGTGGCATCCTGAATGAGTTGATTCAATCAAGCGTTCCCACTGCGACAGTTTCATTCTTTTTCTGTGAAGAGGCTGAAAGTGTAGCAAACAATGCCTCGGCCGTTCTACGTGGCCTGATATACCTGCTTGTCAAGCAGAACCCAAAGCTCATCTCCCACGTCGAAGGATACAATCTATCAGATGACCGCAATTCATGGTTCATACTTGTTGACATCCTGGAAAAGATCCTTCAAGACCTCTCCCAGAGAACCACCTATTTGATTGTGGATGCGCTTGACGAATGCAAATACGATCGCAAAAATTTGGTCGAGCTAATCACAAATTCGGCATTTCCCAACGTCAAGTGGGTTGTTTCCAGCAGAAACTGGGGGGAATTCAAAGATAACTTGGGTGCCTCAGCCAAGGTGGAACTCCATTTGGAGGAAAATCAAGAGGCGGTCTCCCAGGCTGTTCGTGACTTCATTGGCATAAAAATGGAAGAACTGGCTAGTAAAAAAGGTTACAGCCCTGAAGTACAGCGCTATTTATCAGAAAATTCACAGGACACGTTTCTTTGGGTAGCTTTGGTTTGCAAACGTCTGGCCAAACCCAAGTACCAATCATGGAACGCTGAAGAGCTGTTGAGGCAATTCCCCCCTGGGCTAGAGCCACTCTACGAGAGAATGATCGATAGAGTTCGCAATTCTCCAAACTTCCGCAGTTGCAGCGGGATATTGGCCGTTGTTTCCATCGTCCACCGGCCGATTACACTGAAAGAGCTAGGAGTTCTCGCAGTCTTACCTTCAGGCCTCCCTCGAGATTGTATCTCAGCCCTGGAGTTTCTTGTCAACCAATGTGGCTCCTTCCTCGGAATCCAAAAAGGAATAGTTTCTTTTGTTCATAAATCGGCAAAAGACTACCTTGTCGAACATGCTGCGGAAGATATCTATCCCTCGCAGGTGGGAGAAGCACACCGTAGTATCCTTCTTGGATCACTGAAAGCTATGGAGACCTTGCATCAGGATATCTGGGGACTCCAGAGCCCAGGTGTTTCGATTGAAGATTCAAAACCACCTAATCCAAATCCTTTGGCCCCGTTGGAATACTCTTCCTTCCATTGGATCGATCATCTTCACGACTGCGAAGAAAATGCGATGATCGAAGCTCTTCAGGCTGAGGGTCCTGTGGATAGGTTTTTCCGACAGAAACTTCTCCATTGGATAGAGGCTTTGACTCTGCTCCGAGAGGTATCGACTGGAGTAAGCTCGCTTCTCAAATTGGAGGCTAGCATGAAGGTAGCTATCAAAGACGTATTCCTCAGAAGACGGACTGACATTATTAGCTCTCTGGCGTACCAGCGAATCTTGCCGACCGTGTGCGCGATGCCTGTCAATTCCTCAGAGCTCACAAGCCGACGATCGAGGAGCATCCACTGCAGCTTTACGTTTCGGCCTTGATCTTTAGTCCGATCAAGAGTATTACAAGAGAAACTTTTGATACGGGGAAAGAGAGACCAAAGTGGATTTCTAAGACGCCGGCGATGAGAGATTATTGGAATGAGTGTTTGTTAACCTTGGAGGTTTCTCGTCACCTTGTGGCCAAGACAATAGCGTGGTCTTCAGATGGTTCAATCTTAGCAGCTGCTATGTCGAAGGAGATCAAAATCTGGGATGCAACAACCGGCCACTGTCTCGAGGTGTATCCCTCCGATTATATTGTGAAACCTACTGCAATGGCATTTCATATACTCAATGAGCGACTGGTTGTGGCTGTCGGCAGTATGAAAAATGCGGTTCGTGCGGTCGTTTTAGATCTAAGTCGCGGCCAGTATGGGCCATTGCTTGAGAGCGACAGCAGGTTGACAATAAAGTCACTAGTTTGGTCTCTGGATGGTACAAGGGTTGCTGGGGCAGCTCAAGATCAGACCGTCAAGATATGGGATGCGAGCACTGGGCGACTCTTATCAAGTCACGATCTGCTCTACCCGACTCCACTTCCGGGTATTGAGGATATCGCTGAGTTGGAATCTGAGATCAAAAAGTGGGACCCGGCAATAGATCAGTGTATCGCTCTGCTTGAAGGTGGAAGCAGAGATGTCTCTCAAGTCCGGCCTCAAGATCAAATTGCTATTCCAGGTCCAGGTTCTGTGGGATTCAGGCTTTGGGATTTGAGGAAAGCTGAGCTTCAACGGGTGGAGAATAAACACCAAGGGTACATTACACTAGTGTCTTTCTCGCCTAGCCGATCCCAGCTTGCAACAGGCTCTCATTCTGGTCTGATCGAGTTGTGGGACCCATTGACAGGTCAATGCTCGCACACTTTTTCAGGTCACGGTGGACCAGTTGCTGGGCTAAGTTGGGCCCCTGATGGCACCCGCCTTGCCTCCACATACAGTGATCACACCCTAAAGATCTGGAATGTGGGAATGCAATCCTCTGACTTGATGGCGGATGGCTATTCGGGGCCAGTTTGGCAATTAGCGCTCTCGCCAGACAAAGCTAAGCTTGCATCTCGATCCGAACATAGTATCATGGTTTGGAACACGACAACCGGCGAGTTGATAATTACACATGCCCGTCGCAGGGAGGATGGGAGACAAGGCAGACTTCGCGAGGTCTACTGGTCACCAGATAGCGAGCTAGTTGTGACTGGTGTGTCTAGGAAACATGTCATTATCTGGAATGCGAAGACGGGCGAAGAGTTCCGTTTGAATGACAGTGGCTCACTTCGAGTCGATGAAATCTCGTGGTCACCCGACAGCACGAAACTCGTGATGAATGACTACTTGCTCCTTCACAAAGTTTGGATCTGGAACAGGGCAAGCAACCAAATTACTAGTTTCGATATCCCTCCGGAGGCCAAGTTCGTTGGTTGGTTCCCAGATAGCACACGACTCATGTTCAGATCACCGGGCGACCAAGGTTGCAAGTTCACTATCGGAGCTTGGGGGTCGAATGCGAACGAGTCAGTTTTCGAAAACGGAAGCTCATGGAAGCCTGTGTTTGCTGGACTTCTCACCCTGGGAAGAATCCGTACGACGGCTTGGTCGCATGATGGAACCCGTCTTGCTGTTGTTGAAGTCCGGGGAAAGGCCAGCAATGAACTCAAGATTTGGAATTTCTCAACGGGAAAATGGGACGTCACAGTACCTGACCTTGAAACGACTTCATCAATAGCATGGTCCCAGGATGACACTCGGCTTGCCCTGGCAATGGCGGATTCTAGGCCGATCGAAATTTATAACACCACCACGGGCCGGTGTGTCAGGATTGTTGGATCCAGAGATATCAAATTCACGCAAATCGAGTTTGATAAGCAACACCCTTACTATTTGCACACCAGGTTTGGAACATTCGACACCGAGCCTATGAGAACAGAAGGCTCCTACAACGAACTGGAAGTTTCTCAAATGGTTGGTTATGGAATAAACATTGAGGAAACCTGGATCATGTACCAGGGAGAACGAGTTGTCAAGATACCGCTTGACCATCGTGGACTTCGAAGTCACAGGAAGCAAATTTTCGCTACGGTTCCTGGCATGTGTTTCTTTGGCTGCAATTCAGGCCATGTTCTTAGTTTCGGGGATTCAAGGAACTAGGTCAAGAATAACAATGTATGCTTGGTAAACCCAATGGTGCAGTACTTTTACACGCGAGTGGTATTTTCTTTTGGTCGGAGTCGAGAAATATACGTCCCTGATCCAGTTGTGAAGTAGTTGCACTAGTATTCTACTTGTAGAACTACAACCTTGTATCGACTCCCACTTCATCACACACTTTGAAATATTCTCAAGTTCTAACTCTCCTCATTACCAAAGCAAAATAGCCCTGCAACTACAAAAAAAATCCACTTCAGCTTCCGATTTTAAAACTAGAAGGGGAAAAAAAGGTCTTTCCCGGGACGAACGCGCAGATTAACGTCAGTGCTAGAGTAATATCAGTTGAATTGTTTCAGCTGCATCTAACCATATATGTTTCATATGTTTCAGGGGTAACCCTAATCTAAGGATATCTTAGTAACGTTGACATTTTGTTCCCAAATGAGCGATATCTCGGGAATTCGGCGTCGGTCTTCGGGTTATTGCATATATGTCCGACCGCTGCAGTTGGTGCTGTAGTATTGGCCCGTTGGGGGTCTAGGGTCCGCCTTTATAGCGCCAATCGATGAAAAGAGTCAGGCATCTCGGACTTAACTAGAACGCGACCGAAGTCGTGACCGCTTATTTATATTTTCATATGACTCAATTCCTGTCTTTAAGGATGAGCCTCAGCATCTTTACATACTCGAAGCTCTGAGTATCTTAATCTAGAGCTTTACCAAACGGCTCTGCGACATTGAGGTGAGTTTTGAATCAAACTAGTCCAACACAATCTTATTTCTTCATTTTACACTTCCTATTGGGAACTATAAATTGGTGTCTAATATTTCGGCAGATTACAGATCCAAGTCTATATAATTCGACCTTTCCTCAAAGATGTCAAATAATCAAGCTGAAATTGCTTATATCGACAGTGCCAATATACAACTTTCCAACAGTTCAACTTCCACCTTGAGTATGCATGGAAATGATCCAGAAAAAGGTCTCGCGCCATCCGAAAAAGACGAAGCACAACCTACTGAGAAGTCAGTTGCTGCTGGTCCAGCACCCGCGGCACCAGGGATCGGTCCACCACCTGACGGAGGTGCACAGGCATGGCTGGTCGTACTAGGAGCTTTCTGCGGTCTATTCGTCAGCTTCGGCTGGATCAATTGTAAGTCCTGTCGGAATACATGAACCATACAAGATACTGATATCATCCAGGCATCGGCGTCTTCCAAGCATACTACGAACGTCACCAACTGAGCGAGTTCTCTACCAGTACAGTAACATGGATCACATCGCTAGAAACCTTCACAATGTTCTTCTGCGTGCGTATACCATTCCCCAGGCATCAGTTTACTATGTCCCCCAAGACCCGTCTAACATCCTTCCAGGGCCCAATATTCGGAACCATGTTCGACAGCTACGGCCCACGTTGGATTCTTCTTCTCGGCACATTCCTCCACGTCTTCGGCTTAATGATGGCTTCCCTTTCAACAGAGTACTATCAGTTTATCCTTGCACAAGGAATCTGCAGTCCAATCGGCGCAAGCGCCATCTTCAACGCCTCTGTCAACTCCGTCAGCACCTGGTTCGCTAAGCGTCGTGCTTTCGCCCTCGGCGTAACGGCCGCTGGATCCAGTCTGGGTGGAGTCATTTTCCCGATCATGGTCACCCAACTGATTCCCAAAGTCGGGTTTCCCTGGGCGATGAGAATCTGCGCCTTCCTCATTTTGTTCATGTTGGGCATCGCCAATCTCACGCTGAAGTCAAGATTACAGCATCGCCGGAAACCATTTGATTTCCTCGGTTTCCTGAGGCCGTTGGCTGAGCTCAAGTTTTCCCTTACGCTTGCTGCTTCATTTTGCTTCTTCTGGGGCATGTTTTTGCCATTCACTTTTGTTATTACCCAGGCTGAGAGGTATGGCATGTCTAGCAACCTAGCCGGGTATCTGATTCCGATTTTGAATGCCTCTAGGTAAGTGACCCTTTTCTGGCCCACACACTGCACCTCATCGATGAATTAACAAAATCCAAATAGTATCTTCGGCCGCACGCTCCCAGGCTATCTTGCCGACAAATTCGGCCGCTACAACATGATGGTCTTAACAACGTTTTTCTCATCCATCCTCGTCCTAGCCCTCTGGCTACCATCGAGAGGCAACGCCCCAGCAATTGTGTTCAGCGCCCTATACGGCTTCGGCTCTGGTGCGTTTGTCTCACTTGCACCAGCTCTTATAGCGCAAATCTCCGATCTTCGCCAGGTGGGCGTGCGTAATGGCACTTTCTTTGCTGTCATCTCGTTTGCCGCCTTGACCGGTACTCCTATCGGCGGTGCTTTGGTGAAAGATGTTCTCCATGACGATTATACCCGGTTACAGATATTCGCTGGTGTTGTTATGATTGCTGGATCTATTCTGTTTGTTTTTGCACGGGGGACTGTTGGTGGGTTTAAACTTAACAAGGTATAATAGACAGCCTTGTCAAGTTGTTGTTTCATTTTAGATATCTTCTCGGATACCTTGTTTACATTTCGACTTTTTATATATATACTCTTATTGCTTGCAAATAAAACATACTAGACTAGATTTCTAAGAATTTAATTTATTCTCTCTCGTCCTCTTCTCCTATAACCCAGCTTTACTAAGCTAAAAAGTCTCTACAAAAGAAGAAAGGAGTGAAATACAGGGGAATTCTAAAGACAACCGAATTCATGACATTTTCAACGTCTAACGCGGTAGCCTAAAAGTATCCTAGTTGACTCGAAAATATGCTGCCTTAGGCTCCAACCTAACAAAGACCCACGAAATTACATGTTGTCCTCAATCCTCACGGCAAAGCCCCTATTCGAAAATGGCTTGGATCTTCTCGGTATTAAATGATGTGTTCCAGGCCGTGAAGGGGACAAACACAACCATCCTTACAGACGAGCACGTCCCCGGTGCCGATCTGACAGGCAAATGGATCATTATAACCGGATCCAACAACGGCGTCGGCTTCGAAGCAGCAAAGTCTTTCGCATCATGGGGCGCAAATCTCATCCTCGCCTGCCGCGAGCCACCTGCATGGGAACTGCATCCAACAGCAGCCGTGAAGGAATGCAAAGAGCTTGCTGCGGTGTGCGGCCATTCGTCCACCATTGAATGGTGGCACATCGACATGGCAGATCTCAGCAGCGTTGATGCTTTCTGTCAAAGGTGGATGCAATCCGACCGCGCTTTAGATATCCTATGCAATAATGCCGGGATTGCCCAGCCTACCCAGCCAGCCCGTATAACGAAGGATGGATTCCAGATGGTTCATCAGGTCCGTTTTTCTACTCATTTTTAAATTATGCATATGGACAGATATTAATGAAACCTCCTAGATCAACTTCTTATCTCATGTACTACTAACCCTCCGACTCCTCCCATCTCTAGCTCGCAGTGCCGAGCCTCGAATCATATGCACAACCTCATGTTTCCACCATCTAGGACTCTTCGATATCGACCATGCCAATAGTGAACCAGGCAGCAGAGGCAACGATTATCGAAACAATAAACTCTACTTCCAAATGTGGGTCGCAGAGATGCAGTCTCGGCTCCTCAGGCACCCCGAGTACCTCCACATCACAATCAACGGCGTCCATCCCGGCTTTGTGGCTTCGGGAATATGGGACGGCCTTGAAAGTGCGGGTAAGGCCCCGGCCGGACTGGATTTACTTTTGCGCTATGTTGCTATCACGTCGCAACAGGGTGGATTAGCTATTTCTCATGCAGCTACTAGTTTGGAGTTTGGGCCAGATCCTAAGAAACAGGGCGTTGGTGCGGAAAATGGACGTGGGGGAGGGAAGTATATCAATCGGATATGGGAAGGGCCTATGAAATCATATTGTAATGATCCAGAGGCTAGATCGAGATTGTGGATCAAACTGGATGAGGAGCTTGGATTGCAAGAGAAGGGCCTTCTGGAGGTTTTGGGTCTTTAATGCAATGAAGTCTGCCAACAAGCTGTCCGAAGTTCCTGAAAGATACTAGGAAAGAGTATTAGAGAGGATGTTAGAGAGAATACTGGTTCCTAGGGAAAGGAAATGAACTTGATTCGATGGTTATGATCGAAAGTTTATAACAAAAGGGTACAAGGAAGAAGGATGTTTCCAAAGTACTTTGGATGGATTCAAAAGGTCAGAATACCTAGCAAGAGTATAGACAAGAAAACGCCGTAGCACCGTCGCTGAAGGGTGATGCATGAAAAGAGAAGAGAAAAACAATTATGCTCCGGTATATGCCGCCCAAAAATGCAGCAATCAAGCAAATACCCCTTGTCTCATATTCTGGACCGTTTTGACCCCAACACCTTTCAGCTGGCTCAGTTGTGCCAGGCTGTTGACCTGAAAGTGAGACTGGTCCGAGATTCCACTGTCGTTTGTGTCCAATGATGTCTGGTCCATCTCGCAGAGGCAGTCAACAAGAGCCTCTGCCTTTTTGGCGCCCACTCCCTTGAGCAATTTGATCTGGCTCACGTCCCGCGAGTTTATAATGGAAAGAATGTGCATAGTTCGGGGGGAGATGGACGGGTCCTCAATATCAAGGAGCTCGGGGGCTTCCTCGATCTGACCAAGCTTGGCTGCAACACGCTTCTTATGTTTTGGGCGGGGAACATCCTCGTCGCATGAAAGTCCGGCATGAGTCTGGTCCATGTAGTTATCCTCGTGATTCTCTGATTGGCGTTTGCCGAGGGTTTGTGTACCATCCTTCTTGAAGGAAAGCATGCTACCTCTCCCTTTGGGTGGGGAATGAGCTTTCTCTTCCCAAGCCTTTGCATGAACGCGCTCCTTCAGGGCAGTAATCTTGCGTGCCAGCTTCTCGTTGTGAGGGAAGTGGGGAGCTGCCAATTGGTACATTCTGAGGGCTGAGCCATCTTCACCCCGTGCCTGATGTTGCTTGGCCATCAGCAGATATGACAGACCCTCAGCCCGCGCATCTTCTGTACCATCAATACGCTGCTCCAACTGTTCCAATCGCTTTTGAAGCTGCTCATTGAGCTCATGAACCTGTGTCTGCCTCGATTGTTCGCTCACAGCCCGCACAGCTAAGATCTCCTCAACCTTTCTCTCAACCATCTCCTCGATTCTAGCAGCCGAGAAGTCGTCGTGGCGGGCGGTGGGTTGCGGGCCCAGGGTCTGACGAGCAGACTTCAATGATGGAAGACCAGAGGGAGCGTTGGAGATCGAGGTGCGCTTCGGTGCTTCCGGTTTCCGGAGCTGGCTAATAAGCTTGGGTTGCGGCTTGTCCGAATATACGCTGAATGCTTTCACGGGTTTGCCGTCTTCCTTTTCTGCGGAGTCCTTCGCAGCGGGCGCCGGCATATTGACGTTCACAGAGGCTGTCAGTGCACGCAAAGGTTGCCGCGTGCCCATGGATGGCCGGATCGATGGCCGGGCCGGACCCTTGAACATGGGATCGTTTTCTACTTCCCGGACCTCAATCTTCCGTGTGCGATTGGCGACGTTCAGAGAGCTAATTGTGTCAAGTTGGTAAGACCGGACAGGCGCGAGGTTGAGAATCATCACTGTCAAGCCATTGTTCTGTCCTAAGGACAAAATTCTTGTCATCTTGGACTCGCGGTATGGGATGCGATGCTGCTTCTTGTTGATAGCCTCAACACACTGCGCCAGAACGAAAAGACTCTTGTTGATGCTAGCCGATTCTACCATGCGCTCCTTATCATTTTCTGTCCGTCGATTGTCTTCGGATCCTGCGAGATCAATAGCGGAAGCGGTGCTGACGCGAACGTTGTCAGGAGAGGTGATGGTGACTTTCACCCCGAGAACGGCGTGAGATCGAGACGAATGGGCGTTGAGCTATATTCGAATGTTTAGTAAGATAATCTAGACCCTAGCTTTTGACATTTTATCATACCTTTGTTGCGGATGTGGATCGGTTGGTGTTGGCCTGGTCATATAGCTGCTCGAATTCCTTCAAAGTAGTACACGGCTTCTCACTCAGGCCACAAACCACGGTCTTGCCGCCATTATCCCGGAGGGGAAGACCTGACATTGTGCGCTTCTCGAGCGGCTCGAACAAGTCGAACACCTTGTCGTTATAGATTTCATAATAACTCAGGGCAACCTGGACTGTCTTCTCTCCATTGCTATCCTTTTCAATCTTCCGGCTGCGTCTGTAGATTCCACTGAGTAGGCGGGGAATTACACCTCGGTCCGCCAGGCTTTTCCCGCCGCGCATTGTGTGTGTTTTGCCTGTTCCGGTGACACCGTATGCGAAGATGGTCACGTCAAATCCGTTGAGAAGGTGCTTAATTGTTGGCGATACTGTTATTTCGATCAGTATATTGGCCCACAGCGGTCCTGGTGCGCTTGAAGCAGCAACTCACCTTCAGCATCAAACAGCTCCTGTTGCGATACCTCCGCATCGTATACGCCATTGAACTGGAACGCATATTCCTCCCCCTCATTCTTGGGGTTTGGAATCCGAACCACATTATCCCTATCCCTCAATGCCGCCAATTTCTTGTCGTTCTTGTCACTCTTGTCACCAATTATTGACTGCCGTGATTTGGAGTCGGCGGTAGCAGAAGATCCGGTACGAAGGATCACATCGGTTTCCCGTTCGGAATTGAGAAGGGGACGGATACGCGCGACAACTCGGACACTCATTGTGGCGGGATGTTCATTCAATTATCGTGTGATGGTCTGAGTCCTAGACGTCAGGGATGCGATCCAATCCAAACAAAACCGAAGGAATGACTAGAACGAAATGTGTAAAGCCAAAAAAAAAAATACAGAGAACAATCAAGTCCTCCCCAAAAAACAAAGAAACGAAACTAACTACTTGGTGTGTATGCAGAACTGAAGGTTGTGGAACGTGTGGAGGAGTTCTCTTGTGCAGCAGCCGGTGTGGTTGATGTTGGCAGGGCAACCGCCTCTTTGCTCTACAACATAATGTACAATACATTCTTAAGAGTCGAGCACCACAATGGGGATATATGATTGTCCTAATACAATTTCAACAAAGTGATTATCTTAGAAATCCAATATTGAAATCCAATATCCTCATTATCACAATTGACAGTATGATCATTGAGGTACTCTGCACTTGGACTAGCGGTATAGTGCTCACATCTGACCAGCCCAGATACTTCTAAACATATATAAGCAGCTTAATGAGAATAAAAATTGCATATAAGTCAATAGAAACGGTCTTATACTCAATATCAGACGTTGTCGTACAATATAAAAACATGCTTCTCGTCACATGTTCCCTGGTCTCTGATTGGCTGGGGGACCTCGACCTAAAGGCCACCGTAGACCATCATCACCGCCTCTCTCACACTCCCTTGGTTTCTTCTGGTGAGCTGTCTTTTGCCTCGATATTGCCTTTTGTGATACTTCTGGGTTTTCTAAAGGTACAGCCTGCCGTGTACGCAATCAGTCCCACCCTGTTCTGTTGACGAGAAACTGATTGTGGGGTTCCAGGAGCTGTTACCACCCGCCTCATATCGATTCCACCCACCGACTTCGTGACGAGCGCAACCCTTTTTTCCTCCCAACCCTCAAGTACGACCAAACACAGCCTACTTTACTCTAATGGCAGCACCACAAGGGGGATTCCCTCCCCAGGAAGGGTATGGCCAGCCCGCCTATGGCTCTCCGGAACCCACACAGTCCCCTGTCCATGGGCAAGGCGTACCCGCACCAGCTGGAGCTGGAAAGAAGAAGAGAGCCTACGCTGGTGAAGCATTTGATTTCGGCTCTGGCGCCAATGCTGCGCTCGGTGGACAACCCACGGCTGGCGGTGCTTACGGTGCCTACCCTCAGCAGCCTCAAGCTGCAGGATATCAACAGCCCGCCTACGGTGCGGACCCCAACCAGATGCAACCTGTAGCACCATCATATGGCGCGCCTGCTGCCGCCGATGTCACCCAGATGACACAGCAATTCGGTGGAATGGGTATGAGCGAGCCTCATCACATGCCGCCCGCGCAGCCTGTGGCCCAAGCCCCTATGCGACCACAAGTCCAGCTTAACCAGCTTTATCCCACGGACCTTCGATCCCAACCTTTCAACGTTGCTGAGCTGGACTATCCCCCTCCTCCAATCATCTTGCCTCCGGGAGTATGTACAGATGCCATATCGCGCAGGTGGTCGATATGCTAACAATTGTCAGACCAGTGTTTACCCATCGCCCGAAGCCAATTGCCCCACGAAATATATGCGATCCACGCTCAACGCTGTCCCCACAACAAACTCCCTTCTAAAGAAGTCAAAGTTGCCCTTCGCCCTTGTCATTCAACCGTATGCCTCTCTTCACGACGCCGAGGATCCTATTCCTGTGATTCCAGACCAAGTCATCTCACGATGCCGACGTTGCCGCTCCTATATCAACCCCTTTGTCACCTTCCTCGACCATGGCCACCGCTGGCGTTGTAATATGTGCAACCTGACAAACGATGTGCCACAGGCCTTTGATTGGGATTCTACATTGCAAAAGCCCGCTGATCGTGCGCTTCGTGCCGATCTCAACCACAGCATGGTTGAATTCGTTGCGCCGCAGGAATACATGGTCCGACCACCCCAACCTCTCGTCTACCTCTTCTTGATCGATGTGAGCTATGCATCGGTGACCAATGGTCTTTTGGCCACTACCGCTCGCACCATCCAGGAGAGCCTTGATCGCATCCCGAACGCAGACCGGCGTACTCGCCTCGGCTTTATTGCAGTTGACTCAAGCCTTCACTACTTCAGCATTCCCCGGGACGAGTCAGAGTCCTCGGAGCCCCGGATGTTGGTTGTCAGTGATCTGGACGAGCCTTTCCTTCCTATTCCTGGTGATCTCCTCGTAACGCTGAGCGAATGCCGGGAAAACATTGAGGTGTTCCTCAAAAAGCTGCAGGAAATGTTCCAGAACACCCAAAACAATAGCTGTGCCATGGGCGCGGCATTGCGAGCTGGTTACAAGTTGATCTCCC